CTGATGGCCTCTGCCTAGTGTGCCTGAAACACCTGAGTCCCAAGCAGTAGGGCTCTTGAGAGATAATGAGCTTGCAAAGCTTCCCCTCATCCTGAACTCTGGGGCAGGGACCTCTGAGGCAGAAAGCCACATTCTGCCAGCTTTCCATAGTCTATGGTGCCAGCCTGGGGTAAGGAGTCCTCCCAGCCTGACACTTGCCACTCTCCTGTATTGATGAGGAAACCTCTTCTGCCTTTGCTTGCAGCGGGAAGCAATCAATTGCCATTGATGACTGCACCTTCCACCAGTGTGTGCGACTCAGCAAGTTTGACTCTGAACGCAGCATCAGCTTCATCCCACCAGATGGAGAGTTTGAACTCATGAGGTGCCATTGGGCTGTGAGGGGGCAGGGGATGCTGCTGGCAGAGAGGGGAGACAGGGAGCGGGACAGACTCTGTGGTGCCAACCTTGCTTCCTATCCCCAAAGGTATCGTACCACCAAGGACATCATCCTTCCTTTCCGGGTGATCCCACTAGTGCGGGAAGTGGGACGCACCAAACTAGAGGTGAAGGTGGTCATCAAGTCCAACTTCAAGCCTTCACTTCTGGCTCAGAAGATTGAGGTGAGAGCAATGGACTCGGGGAGGAGGAAGACCTTGTGTCTAGGAATAAAGGCAGCTGATGTCAGGACTTGATAGAGCTCCCTGACAGGTGTGTCACTTCTAGGTGAGGATCCCAACCCCACTAAACACAAGTGGGGTACAGGTGATCTGCATGAAGGGGAAGGCCAAGTACAAGGCCAGCGAGAACGCCATCGTGTGGAAGTGAGTCTTTCCTTCATGAGGCCATAGCGGGGCTCAAGTTGCCATAGTGTACCCTCTTGTTACCCTCATCCTTTTAAGTGTGGGGTGGGAGGGATAAGTGTACCTTCTCCAGGAGCTTCCCAGGAGCCTCTGCTTATACTTTCAGCCCTTATACCTCTGTCTGAGTGTGTACATGCTTGCACTTGGGTTCACACATGTACTTATTTTTCAGGATGCTTTGGCATTTCCCCACTTGCCCTTGTAGTATCTCTGTGAAATAGACAGAGACAGAGCAGAGGACAGTATGCCCAAATATCTAAGCAGAAACTGTAGGCCTCAGTGCTAAAGGAGTAATAGACCCAAGGTTCCATAGAAGTGGTTATCAGGGTCCTGACCACTTTTCCTTGTCCTGGCATCTCCTGGCAAGCTCCTGGGCTCTCTCCCACTTAAAATGGGCAACTGCCCCAAGCTACCACAGCTGCTTGCTGCCCATTGCCCCTGTATTTCCAGGATCAAGCGCATGGCAGGCATGAAGGAATCGCAGATCAGCGCAGAGATTGAACTTCTGCCTACCAATGACAAGAAGAAATGGGCCCGACCCCCCATTTCCATGAACTTTGAGGTACGGCAGAGGAGGGGCCTAGAGCCATGGCAGGGTGTGTTGGGAAAGACCTTAGAGATCATTCAGATCAACCTCTGCACCTTAGAGATGAGGAAACCGAGGCCTAGAAAGGGAAAGTGACTTTAATTCACAGACACATTTCTTCCCCCTTCAAGCCTCTTAATAGAAAGGCTTTTCACACTGAGAAAAATCTTTGACCTCTCTTGGCTTGTCATAAAACAGTTTTTTGAAAAATTTAGATTGTTTGAATTCCAGGTGAGAGGCTGGGCATGGTGGCTCACGCCTGTAATCCTAGCATTCTGGGAGGCCGAGGTGGGAGGATCGCTTGAGGTCAGGAGTTCAAGATCAGTCTGAGCAAGAGCGAGACCCAGTCTCTACTAAAAATAGAAAAAAATTAGCTGGGTGTTATGGCCAGCACCTTAGTCCCAGCTACTTGGGAGGCTGAGGCAGGAGGATCACTTGAGCCCAGGAGTTCGAGGTTGCTGTAAGCTAGGCTGATGCCATGGCACTCTAGCCCGGGCAAGAGAGCAAGACTCTGTCTTAAAAAAAAAAAAAAAAAAAAAAAAAAACAATTTCAGGTAAGATACAAAGTTTACTTATAGGCTGAGTTTGCTTTGTACATATTAAGCATATAATTTTCTCCATCTTATTTTTTAAGTTCATAATATTGAGCAGGATAAATATGTTCTAAGACAGTTTTTTGCTTGCTGTCTCCTGCTAATTAAAAGAATTGATTTAAGTTGTCATAGGCAGGGCCTGACTTCAAACCCAAGGTGACTGCTAGCTGCTCTTGGATATACTTTATTTAGTAACCTCTCAGAGGGCCCCTCACCACCCGAGTTTCCCCCAGCTTCTTCCAGGGCCCCAGCCATTCAGACACCTGTTGAGATGACGTAGCACAGGGACTATAGAACGTCCCAGAGAGTGGCTGTGAGGGGAAGGGCACATTCCTAATTAGAGCTGTCCCTTGCCCAGGTGCCATTCGCACCCTCTGGCCTCAAGGTGCGCTACTTGAAGGTGTTCGAACCGAAGCTGAACTACAGCGACCATGACGTCATCAAATGGGTGCGCTACATTGGCCGCAGCGGCATTTATGAAACCCGCTGCTAGCTGCCTAGTGGCAGCTAGCCCACCTCCCCACATCTTCTTCCGCACGTTTGGATACCACCCCCTTTTCCACCCCCCACCACCACACAGCAGTGTCTCCTACTCCCCCTTGCTTTGCTGCCTTCCCTTTGCACCAGCCCGAGTCTAGGTCTGGACCAACCACTTTGCGAATGGGACTGGTGGAGCAGTCCCCGGGCTCCCTGGGCAGGGTAGTTCTGGGGCTCCTGCTCTTCCATCCATCTGTCCTGGCCAAGTGCCAGGCTCTGAGTTCTGTGACCAAAGCCAGGTGGGCCCCTTTTCCTTCCCACCCCTGTGGCCATACCTCTAGAGTGGGAGGGTTGGCTGCCCCTCACTTCGGAGCTCCCCCAAAGGCCAGTAACAGATCCCCAGCCCTCAATCTCTGCTTTGGGATAGTGTGAGCTTCATTTTGTACGTGTGTGGTTTTGTCCAGTTCCAAACCCAATAAACTCTGTAGAGCGGAGTTGTTGGCTGTTGATGTGGGAGTTACATGGGGAGGGGAACTGGTAGGACTGCTCTTCCTAAGATTTTGTATTCTGAATACTCTCAAGGTTCATCCCAATTGTTAGGCCCCTCCTGGACTATCCAGCTCTTATCCTCATGGGTTGTTGGCCCAGGTCTCCTGACTCAGCTAAAAGGAAAACAGCCTCAAGGGCAAACAGCCCCACAAGGCCCCAGTTACCCTGAGGGTAGATTCTTCTTTCCTTAATTTTTTTTTTTTTTAAGAGAGGTGGTCTTGTACTCCTAGGCTCAACTGATCCTCCTGGCTCAGCTTCCCAAGTAGCTTGGACTACTGGCACTCACCACCACTCTTAATTTCATCCTTTTCCCTTTTACCCAGGTTTCCCAAACTTGGGTGGGTGGGTGGGTGGTAGGAAAAAAAATTTTATTTTTCCTAGGCCTCTTCCAAAACAACTCCCTTTGATACCTCCACCCCTCCAGATAATTGTGTGGTGAGTTAGTCCCTGAAGGACAGGATGTATAAAGCAGATTTTTCCCTTACCAGTTTTCCCTTGCTTAGTTTCAACTTTCTCACACTTAAAAAATCTATTAAAAGCCGGATGTGGTGGCACATGCCTGAAGCAGGAGGATTTGAGGCTGCAGTGAGCTATGATTGTGCCACTGCACTCCAGCCTAAACAGCAGAGTGAGACCTCAACTCTATTTTATATTTTATTTTTTAATATTTTTAATTTTGATTTTTTCCAACTCTTTATTTTTTTCAGCCAGTTGTAATCTTTTTGCTAATGGAGAGACCTCAACTCTAAAAACAAATAAAAAACTAGAAAATTTCAAACGTAAACAGAAGTAGAATAATCATGTTCCATCATCGAGCTTCAGCTATGATCAACTCATGGCCAATTTCTTAAAATCATCCAGTCTTTGTTCACTTAACCCAGGTGTCCTATAAAATTTTCACAACTTCCCTCTGGATCCAAAAAGGGCCCACTGTAGTTGGTTAATCCTTCTTAAATCTTACAATCCGTACATTTCACCTCAGCTCTTGCAATTTTGTTGAAGAAAGTGGACTTCTGTAGTTTCCCCATCAGAATATGCCTGTTACATCCCCATGATGTCACTTAACATGTTCCTCTTTGCCTGTGTTTCCTATAAAATAAATATCCAAATTGATTCCTCACAATGGCAATGTTTAATCCAAAAGAATAAATGGATACTGATGTAATTTTAGGTGCCACTTTTAGAGCCAGCTTGGATAATATTCACGTTAAATATAAAGTAGTAGTGTCATTTTGGGTAAATTCTTAACTTCCACCTGAGGGAATCGGTAAAAGGCTTTTACTGTCATTGACATTCAGGGTGCAAAGAAGTCTGCTTTGGGTGTAGGTAGGGAATAAATACCAGTGAATTCATACAAGCCACGTTGACCTGGTTTTCTTCCCCTTGGCGGTGGGTGAGGTTGTGCCCTGGGGTGGTGGAAGAACATAATTCGCAATAGTCGGCTGAACTGCCACGAAGTGTGAAAGGACTGAACACAGGTCGCGTGGGGTGGAGGACAGGGTGACTGGCCACCAGGCTGAGAAGCCGGTAGGGCCTGGGGACCGGCGAATGCACGAAACGTAACGGGGGCTTCCGAGAGGCAGGGACCAGGGTGAGTCAGCAAAGCTCTCGACGGGTTCCAAAATGGACCTGGTTGGGTGCCCGCGGCACCAGACGCGCCTCAAGGAAGCGCATAAAACCTCCCAAAGCCAGTGTGTTTTATCTGTCGTCTGTCTCTGGGAAGGCTCCCACCCACTGGACCACCTCACTCCCTGATAAACCTCGAGCTCCCTTGCCTCCTCCCCTCGCCTCCTAATCTCAACCTCCCAAAAGGCAGCGAGAACCGCACTTCTGGCTCATCTTTCGGCGGAAAAGGCGTCGCGCAAGCGCAGAGAGAACAGTTCCGGCGCAGACTCTTGAGCAGCGCTTGCGCACCGTTCCTCCAGCACGTTCACTCCGCCCACCGGGTTCTGCGCACTCCGCGCCTTTCTTGTGTCACCGCTACGCATGCGCTTTGGAAGAAGTGGGGGGCGAGATTTCGGGGGAAGGGCAGGGGGTGGGCCTAAGCTGAGGTCTCACAGCGACTGCGCGGACGGGTTCCCTACTGGAACATGGCGACTTGCGCCGAAATCCTGCGGAGCGAGTTCCCTGAAATTGACGGACAGGTCTTCGACTACGTGACTGGTAAGCCTTGCCGAATCAATGGGCTGGGGAGGCCTAAGAGGAGGTCAGGGGAAAAGCCTAAGGGAGGGCGGTGCCGGGGACCGCTGCCAGGCCTCTCCTCTGCATGACCTCTTGTCCCGTGGGTTGGTTGGGTCTGGAGACCTGACTGGGGCCGGGTTCGGCGACTGAAACTGATTGTATGTCTACCCTACCCGGTTTCTTCCTTGTCCTGCCACGCCCGGCCCAGGCGTCTTGCACAGTGGCAGCGCGGACTTCGAGTCTGTGGATGACTTGGTGGAGGCTGTGGGGGAACTATTGCAAGAGGTGTCCGGCGACAGCAAGGATGACGCGGGCATCAGGGCCGTGTGCCAGCGCATGTACAACACTCTGCGCCTGTACGTGCCAGGGAATAGGGGCTGATGGGGGCGAAGGGAGGGCGAACGGTCTGGAGACTAGAGATGGGGGAAGAAGGCCCAATGGCCTTAGAGCTTTTCCCTCAACTCCTAATCCTGCGTTTTCTATCCCTACCTACATAGGGCTGAGCCACAGACCCAGGGAAATACCCAGGTGCTACTGGACGCCCCCATCCAGTTGTCAAAGATAACAGAGAACTACGGTGAGAGTGAGGGGAGATTGAACTACCTGTCCTCTACCCTTTTCATAGCCCACCCCCACATCCTCCAACAGCCTATTCCAGCTCAGGACTCCTACTATCTCTTTAACACAGGATAAGCTTGTAGGAGCTAGTTGCTGTCTTTACTGACATCAGCTTTACTGAGGGATTTTTAAGAAGCCTATGATGAAGGGAGTGGGGTTGGAGGATTGTCGGAGCTCTTGGGTATGTCAGGAAGCATACAAGAGCCTTGGAGCTGGACAGACTTGGTTTTACCCCCAATTTTACAACTAGCCAATTGCATGTTCTTGGAAGAGTTGCTTATCTGCCCCAGCTTCTGTATCCTTATATATGAGATTCATTTTTGAGTGCAGGGAGGATGGTAGCCCTTTATACCCTGAATTGTAAGGCTTTCTTGAAAATGGCTGTCTGTGCCTGGTTTGCATTAGTCACTCAAAATGTTAGTTTCCCTTCCTTCAGGGAGAAGGTGACTGCTTTTCTTATCGCTTACAGACTGTGGAACCAAACTTCCAGGACTGCTAAAGAGGGAACAGTCCTCGGTGAGGAGGAGGAGGAAGAAAGGGAGGGGGCTGTGTCTGTGATGGGGATGAGAGTTGACTGTCTAAATATTGGAATATTTTGAGGGAGGATTTCTCATTATGTCTTTGCCTGAGTCTTTGAGTCTGTTCATCATGGGTAAGTTAAGAGGGTTTACTTGAGATGTTCTCTCTGGGGGTTCCATTCTGAGTCTGCACCCTAGAATGAAGTGGTTATGTTGGATCCTTAGACCGTGAATGCAAAGAAGCTAGAGAAGGCTGAGGCTCGACTGAAGGCAAAGCAGGAGAAGCGCTCAGAGAAGGACACACTCAAGACCAGCAACCCTCTGTGAGTTGAGGAAGAATCGTTCAGAAGAGAGCAGAGCAGTCTCTGCTGGGACAGAAGGGTGGTTGGGAGCACTCAAACCTATCCATTTCTCCCTTAAGAGTTTTGGAAGAGGCATCAGCCAGCCAGGCAGGCAGCAAAAAGGAAAGTCGGTTGGAATCATCTGGCAAGAACAAATCCTATGATGTACGAATTGAGAATTTTGATGTGTCTTTTGGTGACAGGTGAGGGAATGGCAGTGGTGGTTTGGCATTCTTTTTGAAGAGATGAAATGAGGCTAAAAACAATGCTAGATTTCTGTTGTTAAACTTGCTGTCCACCTATTTCTAGAGCATTCTTGGTTTCTTTTCTACCACTTCTGCAGGGTACTGCTAGCTGGAGCTGATGTGAACCTGGCATGGGGCCGCCGTTACGGGCTGGTGGGGCGGAATGGGCTGGGGAAGACAACACTGCTGAAGATGCTGGCCACCAGAAGCCTGCGGGTTCCAGCCCACATTTCCCTACTGCATGTAGAGCAGGAGGTTGCTGGAGATGACACCCCTGCCCTGCAGAGTGTGCTGGAGAGCGACAGTATTCGAGAGAACCTGCTACGGCAAGAGCGGGAGCTCAGTGCCCAGGTTGCTGCTGGCAGGTAAGTGCCCCAGGCTAGGGAATAACTAGCAATAGCTGTCCTTCAGAGTGCCTGCTGTGCTGTCACAATCCACAGTTCGAGTGTCCATCCTAGTGATCAGCAGAGCTTGGAACTGGGCACTGTGGAACTCTAAAGCCCTTGTTCTTTCCACAGTGTCCATTGCCCTTGTCATCTTAGGCACGTCCTTCCTGTAGTCTATGCCTATTCCAGCAACAAGGCAGCCAGTGGCCTGCTTTGCAACTGTATAGGGTGCAGAATATCCTAGACTGCCCCTGCTCAGGATTATTGCTCTTTCTCCTCCCTCCCAGGGTGGAGGGCTCAGAGGCTACACAGCTGGCAGAAATCTATGCCAAATTAGAGGAGATTGAGGCTGACAAGGCACCAGCCAGGTATTTAAAATTCCCCCTCCCTCCTTCAGATTTCACCTTTCTCGTCTGTGAACTATTCCAACTGGGTCCTTCAATTTCTTCACTTCTAGGGCATCAGTCATCCTTGCTGGGCTTGGCTTTACCCCTAAAATGCAGCAACAGCCCACCCGGTGAGTGCCTTTGCCATTCTTGGCTCTGAACACTGTTGGCTCCACCCCTGCCTACCCAATGATCACCCACTGCTAATGTGGCTCTGTCATTCTTTAGGGAGTTCTCAGGTGGCTGGAGGATGAGACTGGCCCTGGCACGGGCCCTATTTGCTAGGTGAGTCTCCTGGGCCTGTGTTTGGAGCCCTGTGGAGATTAGGCCTTGGCCTTGGGAGGTGGCAGTGAGTCACTGACCTGAAACCTTATGCCACGTATTCTTCTTTTTCATAGGCCAGATCTTCTACTGTTAGATGGTGAGTTTGAAATGGGGCACCCTGGGTTTGGGCTGGGCAAGGTGGTAGATTCCAAGCTCATAGTTCTCCAGAGCTTCAATCCCAAATGTGTGCTCCCCTGCTTCTCCAGAGCCCACAAACATGCTGGATGTAAGGGCCATCCTGTGGCTGGAGAATTACCTGCAGGTGAGTGCCTACAGGTGCTGGAGTGGGTTTGGGGATTGTCTGCCTCCAAGACACTTGGGGGCCTGGGAACGGACTGCCCTCCCAAACCGGGCCTGCCATCCTGTGACCCCTCAGACGTGGCCCTCCACAATCCTAGTCGTCTCCCACGACCGCAACTTTCTGAATGCCATCGCCACAGACATCATTCACCTGCACAGCCAGCGGCTAGATGGTTACCGTGGAGACTTTGAGACCTTCATCAAAAGCAAGCAGGAGAGGCTGCTCAACCAGCAGCGTGAATATGAGGCACAGCAGCAGTATCGCCAGCACATCCAGGTGTCAGGGGATGGGGGACTGGGGTGTCCCAGCCCATGGGTACTAGAGTTGGGAGTAGTAGGGGAGTGTGACCAATGCCTGCACTCCTTCACCTGCAGGTTTTCATTGACCGGTTTCGCTACAACGCAAACAGGGCCTCTCAAGTGCAGAGTAAACTCAAGATGTTGGAGAAGCTGTGAGTACAGTGTCCTTGGCCAGGCCCTAACTCCTGTTCTCTTCATTTCTTCCCTCATTTTGCAGGCCACCTCTTGCTCTCCCATTCTAGGTCTCCCCTTTGCCAGAAGTCAACTTTGCTTTCCTGCAGGGGAAGAAATCAGAGTATTCTACACTGCTCTTGGAGGGTTCATCTTGCCTAATCCATGGCAACCGCTAATCTACTTTCTGTCTCTATATTTTCTTACTCTGGACATTTCATATAAATGGAATCATTAAATATGACCTTTCATGTGTTCTTCACTTAGCATAATGTTTTCAAGGTTTATTGATATTGTAGCATGTATCAGTACTTCATTTCATTTTATGGCTGAATAATATTCCATTGTGTGAATATTCAACACTTTGTTTATTGATTCATCAGGTGATGGACATTTGGGTTGTTTTCCATTTTGGTTATTATGAATAATGTTGCTATGAACTTTGGTGTACAAGTTTTCATGTGGACATGTGTTTTCAATTTACTTGGATACATACCTAGGAGTGGAATTGCTGGGTTACATGGTAATTCTATATTTAATCCTCTGAGGAATTGCCAAACCATTTTCTAAAGCAGCTGTACCATTTTGTATTCTACCAGCAACATAATGAGAGTTCTAATTTCTCCATGTCCTTGCTGATACTTTTTACTGTCAATTTTAGCCATCCTAGTGGGTGTGAAGCGATATATCATTGTGGTTTTTTATTTGCATTTCCTTAATGACTAATGATAGTAAATACTGGGGTTTAATCTTGAAGCACCTTTTCTAGAAGTGCTGGCAGGGAGCTTAAAATCATAAGGCTTAGATCTTTGTGACATGGAAACATACATTACAATATATTAACTGGAGATAAAAAGCTATAAAAAGGATGATTCTTTTTTTCAGCATATAGTAAACTACAAGAATATGCTCTAAAATAATGGTGTCTAAGTGGTGGGAGTACAAGCCTTTTCTAAAGTTTCTCTGAATATATATTACTTTTGTAAGAAATTGTTTTTTTTAAAGTCCTAAATCTAGTCCATCCCATCTCTCCCCTCAGACCAGAGCTGAAACCCGTGGTCAAAGAATCAGAGGTGGTGCTGAAGTGAGTGTTGGGCCAGAGGGGCTCCCGGGGAAGTGCTTCTTCTGGCCATGCCCACAGTCCTCACTCCCACCCCCTGCAGGTTCCCTGATGGATTTGAGAAGTTCTCACCACCAATTCTGCAGCTAGATGAGGTGGATTTCTACTATGACCCTAAACATGTCATCTTCAGTCGTCTCTCCGTCTCTGCTGATCTTGAGTCCCGCATCTGTGTGGTATGGTTGCTGTTTCTCTGTTCCATGCGCTGGGACTCTCCTACCCCAGTATGTGGTGTGGATTGGCCCAGATGCACAGGAATAGGAGTGAGGGCCTGGGCTAAGGGCTTTGCTATACTTGTACTGCCCCTGTCCTCGGGCTGCACAAGGCTGCCCTGCAGAAAAGAAGAGGCTGGTATGTGATATTTTATGAACACTTAGAGCAGTGCTTTATATTACTGCTCTCAGTTCTGAGTTTTCTCAAACCATGGAACATTGAGGAGAGAGCATGGACTTTAGGGTCAGACTTTAGATCACAACTGTGCCATTTCCTAGTTTGGTTACCAAGCAGTTTCTTCATCCTTAAAACAGATACAACATCTGCCTCATTTGGTTATTGGGAAAAGTAAATGCCTAACATTTAACAGATACTCAAGTATTGCTTCCCTTAGTGTTTTTATTTTTCTGTATAGTTCCTTAAAAATATTTTTTTGGTTGTTGAGGGAGTCATTGAGACTACTGGGACCCCTTCTCATCTCCTTCCCTTCTGTATACCACACGCGTGCATTTTTTTATTGACATAATGTACATATTTATTGGATACAAAGTGGTATTTCAATACACGTATACAATGCGTAATGATCAAATCAGGGTAATTAGCATATCCATAACCTTAAAAATTTATCATCTTTTTATGTTGGGAGCATTGAAAATCTTGTCTTCTAGTTATTTGAAAATATACAGTAAATTATTAACTATAGTCATCCTACAGTGCTGTAGAACACTAAAACTTATTCCTCCTATCTAGCTGTGATTTTTGTCTTCGTTAACCAACCTCTCCAAACCTCTCTCAATCCCTGCTTCCCCCTACCCTGCCCAGCCTCTAGTAACCACGATTCTGTTCTCTACTTCTATGAGCTTGACTTTTTTTTTTTTTTTTTTAGCTTTCACATATGAGTGAGAACATGTGGTATTTATTTTTCTGACATGTATTCTAAAACATCCTCATGTTTCTTACAGGTTGGGGAGAATGGGGCTGGGAAGTCCACCATGCTGAAGCTGCTTATGGGGGACCTGGCACCTGTTCAAGGCATCAGACATGCTCACAGGTTAGGCCCACCTGCACCCCTGTGCACACACTCATAGGCACTCACACTGCCTACACTCCTTCATGGTCATTGCCTTCTGTCCCCTTCTCCATCTCCATTTTTGCCTGCAGGAATCTGAAGATTGGCTATTTCAGCCAGCACCATGTGGAGCAGCTGGACCTGAATGTCAGTGCTGTGGAACTGCTGGCACGCAAGTTTCCTGGTGAGTTAGGGATTTGAGTTGAGGAAGGAGGGCCAGGGCTGACTCCTGCATCCAGGCCTGCCTTGGGGTGGGTGCAGAGCAGCCCACCCAACTGTAGGTGTTGTTGGAGGGTAAAGGGAGGAGTTGAGGCAAGAACGCACCTGATGGGAGGAGTCCTTTTCCAGGGCAGCCCGAGGAGGAATATCGTCACCAGCTGGGCCGGTATGGCATCTCTGGAGAACTGGCTATGCGCCCTGTTGCCAGCTTGTCTGGGGGTCAGAAGAGCCGAGTGGCCTTTGCTCAGATGACCATGCCCTGGTGAGGCCTCACTTTCTAGAGCTTGTGCTCTCCCATTTCCCCTTCTTGTACAGTAGAAAATGATCTTCTCCCTTTTGTATCAGAAAGATTCATTTTCTCCCACTCCTGTCCCTTAACTGCCTGTATTCCTGGGTTCTGCCTTCCAGCCCGAACTTCTATATTCTGGATGAACCCACAAACCACCTGGACATGGAGACAATCGAGGCTCTGGGCCGCGCTCTCAACAGTTTCAGGGTGAGTGTGCCTGCACCCTGACCACTTCTCCCCAAGCCTCAGAGCCCCTTGGCTTTCCCCTGAGCGCCTCCTGTTCTCCTGTCTTTCAGGGTGGCGTGATTCTGGTGTCCCACGATGAACGCTTCATCAGGCTGGTGTGCCGGGAGTTGTGGGTGTGTGAAGGAGGTGGCGTCACCCGGGTCGAAGGAGGATTTGACCAGTATCGCGCCCTCCTCCAGGAACAGTTCCGCCGTGAGGGCTTCCTCTAGGGCCGCCAGGCTGAGGACTGTGCCCAGGACATGGACTGGTCTCAGACCCTGGGCCACCGTGTAGGCAACCAACTCCAGGCTGAGGACTTCACTCGACTTGGGGACAGCCTTATTCCCAAATGTCTCTCTCCTTTCCACTGGAGCATCCTCTACACAACCTGGGGAACCCCATCCAAGGGTCTGTGAGGACTGGTCTCCCGGGGGAAGGGATTAGGGGGTACCTTCTGGGGTTATAGATTCCTCCACTGCCCCAGGTCTGCCTGGGCCCCACGTGGCTGCTATGTAAATTAAATTTCCCCCTGCATCTCCCTGGCCTCATCTCTGCTGCTCACTGCAGGGTTGCAGTGGTTGCCTGCTATTGAGGAGTGTGGGCTCTTTGGTTGGTGGTTTCCTTTGACACTTGTATCACTCACATGGAGGAAGCAGTGGCAGCACCAGCCTTGCCCCTGGGAAGAGACATCAAGGCCACTGGGGTTTGGAGGTCATGTGAGAACTGGGAGAGGCTGAGCCAGTGGGACAAAGGGCAGCACATTGGCATCATGTAGTGCTGTTACCCCCAGCTCGGGTGCAGCCTCAGCTAAGGAGTCTTGGGCTCTGCTCTCTCAGCCTCCACTGCTTGGAAGGTTGAACTGATTCTGAAACCTGGCCTCACACATGGTTTGCCAGCTGCATTCTCCAGTGGTTTCTGGCTCAGGTTTGTCCTGCTTCTCTGATCTGGACCCTCAGGGCTGAAGGGAAACCATCTTTGTCTTTATTTTGCTTGGGCAAATTCATATGTGTTATTTTTCCTTTAACTATTTAGGAGGGGCCTAGGAAGTGGGGAATTTAGGACAGGGCTAATGGGAAGAAATAGAACACTTTGTTTTCAAATTAAGCCATCTTTAAGAGGGGAGAGATGTTTAACAGAGGTGCTATGATTTGTAAATATTCTTTCTCAAGAACTTAGCTGTTACATGCAGTTATTATGCAGAAGAGGTTAAAATGGAGACATTGGAGCTGGGCAGGGTGGTGCACACCTGTAATCCCAGCTACTTGGGAGGCTGAGGCAGGAGGATCATTTGAGCCCCAGGAGCTTGAGACCAGCCTGGGCAACACAGCGAAACCCCATCTCTTTAAAAAAAAAAAAAATACTGTTTTGCACTCAATGGAGAAACCAGAGAAGCTTGCTTGCTTCGTGGAGATGATAATCAAAAAGCTTGATCAAGAAATCTTAACTCTGAGCTGCTGAGGGTAATGTGGGATAGGTATCTGGGGGAGAGAAACCTGTTTGGCGGGTAAAGGAGAATAAAGGCAGGAAGGCTCTGTTGATTAACCACAGAGCTGGCATTGGTGAGCTGACGAAGCTGGCAGAAGGACCGCTGATCTGCCTGCTGCCTCAGCTTCCCTCCCTCTCAGAAGTCCAGAGGATGTATTTCTGCAGCCTTGAGCACCTTTAGCACTCCTGAGAACTTTCTCACAACCCCCATAATTCTCTTCCAACTTCAGACCTGCAGATGGGTGAGTCGGGGAGCCACCTGTTGGAGGTCTATGCCTGCTGGTTTGCCAGGCTTTCAGCCCCTGAGCCCCTCACCAGTTGTGAACCCCTCTTGGAGTTCTCCCAGCTTCTTAGAATCCTCAGAAATGCAGTTGAAGGATTCTCTAACACTGAATTTGCTTTTGTGCATGAAGAGCATTAGAGTTGGTGTTGGATCTAATACCAAATCTCAGTTCTATTACTGGTAATGGAAAGAGCCACCAACGTTAGCTGGATAACCACAAATCCCTTCATTTCTGAACTCCTACTTGGTTCCTTTATAGGACTGTTGTGAGGATTTGCTAACAAATACAATACGTAACCACTCAGAAATGTGACCAGTCTGATTTGAAGGACTATCATGGGAAAAGAAGTGAAATTTCTCTGAGTCACTCCAGAAGTAGACCAGTTTGGACTCTGTTAATAGCTCAGGCTGCCTTCTGAGAGTGAGTTACCAATTGCTGGGACCGTTCAGCCCTGTCAGGCTTTAGAGAAGGGCTCTCTGGGCTAGGAGGCAGCACTAGAGGACCTCCCGGTTTGCTTCCAATTTTATGACTCCATGAAAGAAATGCGAAGGACCTATATATATGGCAATACGAGCCCACGCTGGAGGACTTCAGAAAGGTGGGATAAATGAATTGTACCAGCTGGGAAAGACCTAGCTATTAGACATTAGAGCAGAGAGTTGACAGAAGACAGTTGTTTTGAGGGATGGAAAATGATAGTGTCAGTGTCAGCCAGCTCCATTTCAGAAAGCACAGACAAAGAAGGGAGAGGGGAATCTGACGTGGAAGGGTGGGAGGTAACTTTGGGGGGAGGCATCCCTGGGTGGGCGTGAACAAAGGTCACTCTTGATGACTCCAGACTGTACACTCGCAACTACCCCATTTACTGGCTAACCCCAGCCAATGGGGAGCCGTCTTTCCCCAGTTGCTGACCCTGGTGCTGCTCTGCCAACTTTGGGCCTTTAAATCAATAGGAGCTGGCCAGGTTGTAAGGCCTTAGTCCACAGAATCCTCACTGAAATCCAGGCCTTCCTGCCTCTGCTGACCTTACCACACTCACCAACACCTTCTCAGGCAACCTAGCTGGTCCCCAGTGGGAGGCAAAGTGACTAGGGGCCATGGGTTCCTTGGCACCAGCCTATGAAGCTCTCAAGGATGCCAGTCAGACAATTGTTCATTTTAATGTGATTATTACTGTCCTGAAATTTGTTAGACGTGGATAACATTTTGCTAAGTTCTCACTGATTCCAGACACATTTTAGCCCACATCAGAGCTCAGCTCTGCATCAGGCCTGAGCGTGCAGACTGGATATCAGAAGCTGTGGTTTGAAATCCCAATAGGCTAGCAGGGTGGGCCCAGGCTGTGAGGACTTTCGCAGCCTGGCTGAAGGGCCTCTGAGAGTCCCTGAACCTGGAGAGATGGACTCCTCAATTCCACCCCCTCCTACTAGGCTTCCATTGCACTTTGTGCTTGCCCCAGTCAGCTGCATGCCATCATCAAGATTGTAGTGCCCACTTTGCCTTGACATCCTTGAAGGCCAGACCATGGCTTACTCATCTTTGCATCTTCTGTGCCTGTCCCAGGTTGGGTTTCCTGGGAAACAGCTTGAAGAGATCAGCATACAAGGTGTTTTCAGGGTGCTCCTGGGATAAATAGCTGTGGGAAAAAGGGCCAGGAAACAGGATGGAGCAGATGGAGGAGTTGAGCAGCAGTCAGAACCTTGGGTTAGCCGTGCAGAGTTGTCCTGAGTTGGGGTAGCCAGTCAGGCCTCCGTTCTGCTGAGGCGATCAGCTTTGGGATGCTGGCTGCTACCGGAAGGAGGTGTGATTGTGAAAGAGGAAGTTTTCCTTAGTTGAGGCAAACCCCAAAGGGGCTGACAGCTGAGAGTTTTCTGCCTCGGCACTCCTAGCAGTGAGGGCAACAAGTCCTTTCTTCCTGAGAGAAGATTTGGACAAGTCATCACAGCATCCGCTCCAAGGCCTGGTACGTAATAGGTGTGCAATAGAAATGTTTGATAAATGAATGTTTCAGGAAGATTGATTTGAGAAGATGCAGAGAATGACATGGAAGGAGAGAGTCCAGCCTTGAGGTGGGGCCGGGATGGTGGAGGTGAGACTAGGGAAGGCGGTGCACAGACGCCGAGGGCTCACGAACTTGGCCCAAACTAGAGAGGACTCCTTTTTCAGCCAGAACCTTTGAAATGAAATGAAAGCTTTGAAACATTAACAGGCAAGTTACAGGGGCCTTTTTTTAAAAATAACTTCCCCTGTTTCCTTTCAAGACCATTCTAAGGAACTTTCAAATAATAACATTAATTAGGCTCTTATTGTGTAATAAATACGGTTGTTAAGTACCTGTATTGACTAAGTCAATCCTGACAGTCCTTGAACTGGCACAATTATTGTCCCCATTTCGTAGATGAGGAAATACAGGGAGTTGATACAGTGGGTGGCAGAGCTGGAATTCAAGGCCAGTCTGGCTCTGGGACACAGCTTTTAACTGCCACACTGTTCTACCACTGGGCTCTTAATGGGATGTGCACAATAGTCACAGCTTGTTAATTCTATCACTTAAAACTTAGTTGCTTGGGCAGGGGTTTGAACAAGCTTCTCTCAGGAGAGCAAGCTGAGGACTAGGAGTTCTGGCACAGTGGCTGACACATGCTAGGTGCTCCCTGAATAGTTATTCATTAAATAAATTATCCAAAACTCGTGGTATAATGGAAAAGTTATGCTCTGGTATTAGTTCAGCTCTAACACTGATGGCCTTGGGCAAGTCAGCCTCTCCTGAGTAAATTATCCATGAAATGAGCACAACACAATTTGTTTTGCTTCTTTCAGTAGTTGGACTGAGTCAGATAAGGTCCCGTGTAAACAGTAAAAATTTTTGTAAACTGTAAAGTCCTATGGGTCTAAAAGGTGTAATTTCATGGAAGAAGCGATTGGGGCAGCAGCCGGGAGCCACCTCTGGAGACACATACACATGCAGGTAAGCACTCCAGGCCATGCTCAAGATGATCGCCCCAGGAAGGCCACCCTACAGCTCTCCACGTCCAGAGAGCCAGACATCAGAAAGCGTGCATGTAAGAACGTAGCATGAGACTCTGGCACCCACTGACTCACATGGGGTGAGGCAGAAATCACTGTGCAATTTTAGCCCATCCTAATAATATGTATAGTTCATGCCCTGTTGGTAATTCTAGGTTTCTGTTTTCTTTATATTAAATAAATAGGTAGTTTGGAAAGCGATTTCTGCTTTACTGTATATAAACCTTTGAAACCCTAAATTAGAATAAATATTTGCCAACCCATGCTACAGCATTTTTAACCCTGGGGAATGCTTTTACAAACATTCTCTTTGGCCTTTTCTCAATAATCTTGTGTAAATGGCTTCTGCTGAGTTATTCCCACTTTACAGAAGAGTTTGGGGTAGAAAGATAAGTGTCTTGCTTAGGTTCACATACCTCTACGTGCAGAGATGAGGCAGGAACTCAGATATCTGGACACCAGCCTTCTCACATCCAGATTGGCTGTTCTCAACTTTGTTCCACAGCTATTCATACAATGGGTGACACTCTCATGTCACACATGCCTGTGGGGCACACCCAGGGTCATGTGCCCTTCTGTCCTTTTAGGGAAATATTTTGAACCTGGAATGGAAGGGAGTGACTGTGAATCTGCTCTAATTTGTTTCTAACTTGTAAAATAGGGAGCCCACTCTAGAGTCAGAAAGAGTTACATCTTAGTCTGGGTTCTATCATCTAATAGCTGTGTGACCTTGGCAAATT